GCCAGCAGTTTTGCGCCATATTAGGCTATCAGTCCTAACTCATATACGCTATCACTCTAACAGAAATGGTTTCATTATCCCCTTTGTTTGGATGATGGAAAGCGTCAGCATTTCGTCATCAAGGTTGTCCCATTAAAACAGAATATACCTTTAGCAAATTCCATTTTGTTGTGAACGTGACATTGTGGTTATGATTTATGATTTTCACTATTTTAACTGCAAAACAAAAATTAGCTTAAACATTAAAAATAATTGAACTCAAGGTATAAAGGCGATGCGGACTACATGATGGGATTCTGTCACAGATTGTTAATTTTTTTGAGATCGAACAATAGGTAAGTGGCATTATTGGATAGACTTGGGTAGGTCTACAAGATCTGATAAAGCTTCTCCTGGCTGCGTATCCAGCCGATTAATTTGTTGACTTTATAGCAGGCTTTTTGCTTTTTTAGCAATTGCAGTTATTTTCGTAGTGTAGTAGTAGTGAAAAAATTTTTTCTCTCGTTATTTTAACAGCACTGATTATAAGCAACCACATTTGCACAAAGTATCTGCGGCTAGCCAAACTGCTGCAACGCGCCTGTTTCCCATACAGTCACTCAATCCTGAAAAAGATGGCTGTAAGACCAGGAATACCAACGTCTATAAATTACCGTGGATGACACGGCAAACGTGATGGGAACTTGACAAAACCTGACGAACAACAAAGTCTCATCACTTAAATGAGATATCTCAAGCCACGGGTGTAGTGGCACAGTGAATAAGAGGTCGGCTTAGAAATCTAACTCCAGATGTTAAGTTCGATTTTTGGCAGGTAATTCTGTCTTTACCACGAATTCCCTTGAGTGAAGAATCGCATGTTGCTTCAGATCGGGGTTACTTGGTCGATAGAACGTCAGATTCAAATCCGAAATGTTTTGGGTTGGGGCATCTGTTGGGGTCCTTCTCTTTCTTCTTTTCGAGGTTGATTAATGATGGACTTTCTAATAAACGAGTGGGCAGGAGTGGGAAACAGAAGGTGCAGACTATGCTTGTCATATAGCTGTTGTCGATTTTGAGTTTAAAAATAATAAGGCACTCCTGGATGATGACATGTAAATGGAAATCAATGTCCCCACCACTAACTTCATGAAACCAAGGGTTCTAGAACTGACCCCATCAGTTAAGTGTAAGGAGGATCGACATTCCAACAGTTACTACTTTCCCTTCTCAAATCCTTGACTCGGTCAGTAATCAACGATAGGAAATAAAAACTGGACTGTCAGGTGCAGTGCAGCTGAAACCCACGTAAGCGCTCACGGTACGTTATCACAAACGACTTGCATATCTTCTACACGCTCCTATGTATTTCTCAAAGATGACAATCAGCGATGCAATATTGGTGAAAACTGCAGTTTTTAAGTCAAATGAAGAAACAGTGGTGGCACATGAAATTGGTGGCGGGGTTCATCATGCTGTTTATTTTATAGGCAGGGTACTGACGAATGAGCGGTTGGCTGTTGAACGTACTGTCATCAGCATATGTAAAATAGGTATTTTCTTTGCAAGCCTGTATGAGTAGAAATGCAGTAGTAGTGGAATTAAGCTACGCAGGATACCAGATTTATGGGATAAAAGCGTTGTCGTATGTTTTTCATGTTATCATCATTTTGCGTTGTGAACTGTATTTCACGTTTACCGTATGACGTTACAGACATCAACTAATTTCACTTCCAAGAATTTTAAATTTTGTCCGAAGCGAAAAAGTCGACCAAATAAGGAATGCGCATTATGTAAGAGCGCCAGCTTGACAAGCACTTGAAATAACCAATCATAAACGTTATTAGGTCTGTCGAAAAGAATAAAGCGTAACCACGGTATGGTGCCAAGCTTTAGAATTTCCAATCCGATAAAACAGAGCAACGTATTTGCATAGTGCATACTTTGCACCATATTTTCAGTTTATTATTCTGTGAATACCTTTGATAGCTTAACGAATACCATTGATGCCTCTCGTTAGCTCTTTCTACTTGTTACTTTGCATGCTAAGAGTCAGCGCTATGACCAATTCAGAGTTAAAAATGGTTTACGCTGGGACGTTACCCGCAAATATGAGGTTTGGCTACATTAGCTCATTCATTGGTACTTCTAGCTGCAAATTTCGGATTGAATGCGCTTTGGTATAGTCACTCGAGAAGGGGAAATTTTCTCTGTGACTTGCGAGAACGAGAAAGAGTGGCGTCGGTTAATGAAGTGGTATCAGTAGTTCAACAGTACTCTAATCTAACGTCGTCTTGGTTCTAACAAAGTTAAGTAAATCATTACAATGCATTTCGCTGTCAACCTCGAATGACTGCAACACGCATCTATAATAAGAAACTGTCATGTTATAGTCAGTTTCTGTCTGTCATGTTCAGCAAGAGGTGAAAACCTTAAATAAAAAATAGGCAAACTCGTAAAAATCTTTCACGCGTAAAATTCAGCGTTTTAGGATTCATCGCTCGAACAGAATCCGTTGGCCATGCTGACTGCGCAGTGCAACCGTTTGGTCAGTAGATCGCCTTCGTCCGTGTTCGAACCGACTTCGAAGAGTTTCCAGCCATGGCGAAAGGCCCTTGATTTCACGACGTCCGCCACACGGCCTAACATTTCGCCAGCGTCGTCGTCGTCCAGCGCCGTCAATGTGTCAGACCTGATCGCCAACGCGTACCACAGTGCCGTTGGAACGGCTGGACTGCAGCCCGGCTCAGCACTGGCACCCGTTTACAATGCGTACCCGAGCAACTGGTTCCACTCGGCCCATCCGGTGTCCAGCGTCAGCGTGCCGAACAACTGGTTGGACATCCATTCGAACGCTGCCTGGCTCGACTCATCGGTGGGCATCCGGGCCGGAGCTCAGCACCCTGCTTCGGTTGAATACAGTAACCCTGTCGCCCTCAGCACGGCGCTTGGCCAACCGGCGGCGTTCCAGTTTCTGCAAGGCTCGCAGATGATCAGCGGTGTGAGAGGCCTTTCCGGCTTCAAAAGGTAAGACCGCGTCGCTCGTTGTTCGTCTGTTGTGTGCCCACGTGGCGTGTAACCCGTGCCGACCGACCACGAAGGTAAAATAGGTCGGTTTCACGCTTCGGTGGCAACTGTTGCCGTTAGCGTCGACATTTTGCGTTTGAAAAAGTTTCGTTTTTCGACCGCTTAAACGCTGTCGAAACTACAAAGCAATAAAGTTTCACGCTACACCTACATTTCGTGATTTTCGTCCACGGCAGTTCTGCAAACTCGTCTGGCATCTTGGCGCAGTTGTTCATATGCTGCTTGTTGTTTGGGCAGACACCCGCAGCGTTGTTATTGTTATTGTTATGATAGTTGAAATCGTTCACATCTTCAACCGTGTGCATGAGCAGAACGTCCCTGGTGATGGCCGCTATATTCGCAGCTTTTCAAAACTTCAGCGTGCATCTGCACTGAAAATAATATCTACTGTACTGTATGTTGGAGTTGATCCACCTTATTGTTGATAAATGTGCTGTCGGTAATGCGTTATTAGTACATTTGCACGCAAAATCATCATCGAAATGGTTATAGATTTGATGATGGGTTATGCAATGGATTATCTTATGCTTACTCGCTTTTAGAAATATGATTAAGTTAAACTGAAATAGTCTTAGATTCGACTTCGATTTTAATTGCAGTTTCTGGAGTCCAACGGTCAGACCATAAAATAGCTAATCTCATTGTGGAGTGAAAACCCCTGGCATTTAACTTTTGTAATGTCAAGTACTCGACACTGTTGCTTGTTGAACATGCAACGGGAGCTCACCACTTATCTAAAGTGTTTGACAAGAAATCTTAGGACAAAAAGGCGCCTACTCTGTTCAAATTTAGTACCAATGTACTTTACAGGCAAATGTGGTTTTCATAAGATATAACTGTTACACAGCCTTTGTATAATTTATATGCCTTCCGTTTACTACAACAATCAGTGAACAATATGGAATTCCGCTATGAATTTTTCGCGTGATTAAAAGGATGTGTGATCTTGTGTCATGGACTGTGAGAACTGATGGCAGGTTCAACAAATTCAACAAATATCTACAGAATTTGGGCTAAGGCAAGGAGGAGTAAAATCTCAACCACTGTTTGCGATGCTACCCGACTGGTGTTCCAACCAAAACGAGGGAATGAAGCTACGGCGATAAGAGTGAACATGATTTGCGTACATTCTCCTGCATTTGCGGATGATATCGTATTGCTTGCAGACAACTTCGAAACTGCGATATCACTGTTCCTAACTCTGAAACAGATACTTTCATAAAAAGCAACTTATGCAAAAGTTTCATGTAATTCGCAATGGCCATGCCTTTTGAAGAAAGGTGCATTTCCTCTACAATAGTGGAAGTTGCTTAACGTTTTGTCTTTCTGATTATTCTTCCAATATCTTTGCGAGCGAGAGAGAGGTGATATGTGAAGAAAAGGGATTTTCGTGGCAGCTGATTCGCCTTACCAGGAAACTTAACAAATGCGAAGATTGGTGAATCAACCATCACCCAACGAACTGCACGGGTCTCGCTAGCGTTTCTAGCCAGGCCAATGGAAGCGACTAGTATTGCACCATTAATTCGTTGTGTACTGACGGACGTTGTTTTAAGATATTCAACGGTGGGACGCTCGAACTGTGACTGTCCGAACTGTCAAGAAGCCGATCGTCTTGGACCGTCTGGAAGCCATCTGCGGAAACGTACCATACACAGTTGTCACATTCCGGGATGTGGCAAGGTGTACAATAAAACGTCTCATTTGAAGGCTCATTTGAGGTGGCATACCGGCGAAAGACCTTTCGTTTGCAACTGGTTATTCTGCGGTAAACGTTTCACGCGAAGCGACGAACTGCAGAGACACCTGAAAACGCATACCGGCGAAAAACGCTTTGCGTGTCCGTCATGCGGAAAGCGCTTCATACGCAGCGACCACTTGCAGAAACACATGAAGACGCACAGTGACGAGAAGACAAGCGATGTTGACTCTGCAGAGGGGGACAATTGCGAACACGTGCCGAAAAAATTTGAAGCATCGTCTGCTAGTGTTGAGAAGTTGGCAACGATTAATTCGACAGCAAATGGCCAGACTTCGGCAGGCCACTAGCCGGTTACGGCAGTATTGAACTGTGTCGTCGTCCATAGTTGCTAAAATCTTTTCGTGAACCTCGTCAGTCTGTGTACCTTTGTTCAGGAAGAATCAAGAACGCTCCAACGATCAGCTGTACAATGTGTACATTTTGCAAGTGTTTTCACTTTCGTCTTGTACCATCACTGGATCTGTTGTCTCTTGTTGTTGTTTTACATGTCGTAAGTTAAGCTATAGCGCAGGTTCATTCATGCTTTGAATGGTGTACAGTAAAGTTCTCCCAACACTTAGTTGTGCTTTGTACTGCATCCGAATGACCATACCTTAAAATGCGCTTGTGGTACGCGATGAGCCAAACGGTAGTTTACGGTATCTTTACTCCGTCAAAGTTTCATTTTTGCCAGGTATTGGGCAGAATGCCGTTATAATAGGCGAAATACAAATACTGAAACATTATTCCAAAATAACGAATAATGCACTTGTCTAACCCTAATAATTTTAGTCAACAATCTCCTTAAATGTCTATACTGATTTGTTCACATGGAGAAAGGATTAAATGGGTTTTCTATCTGCAAGATCAAATCAAGTTTATCGTTATCGTGGACAGCGGTTATGTACTTTCAACGAAACTGTAACAGTTATGCTTCCACAATGCGTGATTCGCACAGCTGAACGGTGATGCTTGGAGAGTGAATGACAAAAATATCACCGACAAGTGTAATTTTCCTAATTCCTGAGACATGCTTATGTTTGGATAGTGAAACATGACGAGAAACGAGAAGGCAGAGGATCAGCCACGTGAATTAGGTGTGATTTCAAGCTGGTCGGTAGTTGCACCATAGGTCAGTCTAAGCTAGCTGGTATGCTGGTCATTCACAATTACTTCTGCTTGGACAGTCAAATATGATATGTATATTTCATCTTCTGCCCTTCAATGGTGTCAGATATTTTGGCCATCTTTCGCCATTTCTTCAATTTTCTACCAACAGACTTAGCGATTAGCATCACGCTTTGCACCCAATGAAATCTGCTCTAAAATTATTGCTGTCGAACACCGTTTCTCTGCAGGTTCAATGATAACCAAAAATTTCAAAGAAGTCATGAAGTCATTGACTAGTCCCAACAGCCACGTCAGTGACATGACGAAAGCACCTAGAACTTGGTGGCTGAAATGAAGAGAAATACAGTTGTGTTCCCAGAATATTGTGACCTCCAACAATCATTTTTTCCATGCTAGTATCCGTCCGCCAGTCCAGTTTCAATCTACAGCGAAAACTGTTAGCTTCGACTAATCACGAGAGAACAGGGCATGGCCCATGTGCGCGCCATATGCATAATCGCATACAGAAAATCCCCGAGTTACGATTATTCGATATTCGATTTTTCGATCTTACGGTACCGATTACGATACAACAAAATTCGAAAAATATTTCCGATTTCACTAGAAGAATAAATGAGCGTAAGTGTATGCCATACGATAGTTCGGGTACGCTTGGGAGGTTGCTGCCGGCAGCATCGCATCACTTGATGTATGGTCTGCCTCAGTCTCCAGCGATCTAACTTTTAGTGAGACAGCGATTCAAGAAATATTTGCCTTGAGTTATTTTGTGCTTAAAATTGCGCTTTTTCTATTAGAACGCCCCTCCCAAAGGTGCTAATGTTTCTCTTGTTGGTAGTGAAAAAAAGAAAAGGAAAGCTATTACCTTGGAAGATAAAATGAAGATCATAAACCAGCGGGAAGGAGGGAAACTAGTCATGGCCATAGCACGTGGTTTTCAGTTATCCTGGTCAACGGTATCAACGATTCTCGAAGACAAAAAGCGGGTCATAAAAGCTATCAAAGGTGTTGCATCTGTACATTCCACCGTAATATCGAAGAGATCTGCCATTTAGAATATCATTAATTTACAGTGTATTAAATTGTTCTAACTTTATTGCCGCAAAGTACATCACAAATGTATGTACTGTAATACAACTTCAAAGGTTTAATTACCTCTACAGTGCACTATAGTACAACTACTCTATAATATTTACCCTATTGCAAATTACAGGATATGGGGTTTGTTAAATTTAACGAAACTATACAGTGCATTATGCAACAACACTATACATTACAGTATAGCTATGTCATACATTACATTGTCTTTGTCTATACCATATACAAAGGTCGTCCCCTACTTTCGATATTTCCGTCTTACGATGCGATTATCGGAACGTAACCCCATCGTAAATCGCGGACTACCTGCATTTGAAAAATTGCCACTATGCAGTGTGCAGCCGACACGCAATGACGCAACTTATCGTTAAATGTTGCTGTTATTAAAACTGTCATCTATCACTGGTATAACCAGTTCCAATGACATCCCGGATACTGTCATTTACACGCAAAATCCGTTACCAGGGTCACCAATTTCCCTTCCAGTTTGCTTCCGTACACTACCGGCCTAGAAGGTACTTCAACGTCAGCTCTGACAGTGTCCGATCAGGTTTTAACTCTTTTCCGATTGCATCGAGGTTACGTTTAATGTAATGAAGTGATATGGTCTGGTGGAAGTCTCAGTAAGTGCCCAAGTCAAAGCAGTAGCAGTCTTTCAGGACATTAATGAGCTTGATGACGTTCCACAGGGCACAGATAGCAACGTTCGATAAATCTTAAGAGATGACATCAGTTTCTGGTGGATTTTCATTACCTCATGTCTTCGACTCTTAAGGACAAGCTCTCGCATTAATAAAGGAGAATGAAACGGATGACAGCCTGCGGAACTCGGCATTTCGTCTTCAGACTGATCCTCCGTCGAAACTAAGCTATCATTGAATAGATGTTTTACGAAACGGTGGTTATGTATCTGAACTACAGAATGCTTGTTAAGCTATTCTTCAGTGACACTGTAAATTAAACCGTTTAATTATTTTAAACTTTACGACAAGCAGCAGCACCAATGAAAAAAGCCTCAAATCACTTCAATTTACTCGCATCATTTTTCTTAGTCTCTAAACCCAGTACGGAGTCTTGTACCTTTTCCTGTGGCCATGTCTTTAGCGATTAGATGCCGTTTATATTGCGGCCTCAACAACCGTATTCATCCTTCCTGATCAGCTGTGGATATTTGTAGCTAAATACTTACCGGAACCAATGATTTCTCGAAAGGTTTCGTTTCGAGAGCCATACCAATCTGAACAGTTCGAAAATAAAGCAATACTTTCAGGGATTTGATGACTTCCGAAGTAGTACATATGCTGTTTCAAACTCTGACTCCACTTTCACGTCACTCCACTTCTACTTCTTTAAAAAATTTTGCAAGATAGTTTGTCGAAAGACATGAAGCTACATACTTATAATCTGAACTAATAATTTCGTTTCGAATATTTAAAACGTGCCACACGAAGAAACATAGCCAACTATAACATTTATTAACCGATTCCCTCAATATGCCCTGAAAATGAAAACACAAGACATCAAACGTAATTTAAGTCAATTTTAGAAAATATCGAGGTCCATATCGAAAAGCGGATCGGAGAAACTTTGAAAAATGTATCTCGGACGTGAGTTAATCAATGGACGTTTCAGTATGAACATGATACCATTGTCAGCAAAAGTTGGATCACAATGCTTCAAGGAAATATGGTACGAATCCGAGAAAAAATCAGGAAAATCAGAACTTCTTAATCGTTCATTGGAAAGGGTTCGAAGTGCCCTCGTGCCAAAAGTGATCGGAAAACGATATCGCGAAAATCCGATCGAACAGTGAACACCTGAAAAGGTAGAAAATGACAAAAATCTAAATGGTGTTAAAGTTATACAAAATTAATTAATTTTAAAAAAGTGTACGTAAATTCAGAAATTCACGGCTACTCACAGTCTCGTAACTGCAACGAATCG